CCTGAGCCTGCCCTGGCCCAGCTCCAGCCACTCCTGGGGCTGCCCTGGCCTGAGCAGAGCTCGGAGCTGCCCCAGTGCCCTCAGCCTCTCCCTGGGTGGCTCCTCCATCTTGTCCATCTTCATGGCCTCTTTTGTAAACTCTCTAATTGCTTCATGTCTTTTTTTTTTTTTTTACCTCATGGTGCTGAGAGTTGCCCCAGCACTCAAGGTGAGGCCACCCCAGCCCAGAGGGACAATCCCTCCCTGGCCTGGCCAGTGCTGCTAGGCCTTCTCCCCCAGGATAGGGATGTCCCTCCTACCTCCAGGACGCTGCTGACTCAGATGCCCCTGGCCATCCACCAGGACTCCTGGGTCCCTTCCCATGGCCCAGACTCTCCAGTCTGTCTGTACATTCAGGGTGCCCCATCCAAGATACAGAATCCAGCACTTTCTCATGTTGAACATCACACTACTGGTGATTCACAGCCCTCTCATTTGTCAGTGTCTCTCTTTACGGCCTCCCTGCCTTCCAGTCAACAACTCCTTCCAATCTAGGATCATCTGCTAATTTGCTTTAGTCCTGATGCTGTAGTACTCACACACTGGTTTTTCTCACTTCTTGCCATACCCAGGGAAAACTAATACCAGACTTGTTTGTGGAACATCTCTCTGTGTGAGGGACGACACTTTTCTTCACGTCGCCCCAAGAAACTAGTCCTTCCACAGGGTATTTCTCAGCTTTGATGACAAGTTTTAGAACTCTCAGAGCTGGCACTTGCTTGTAGATCATCCTGTTTAGTAGCAACCAACAGATTTAGCTAAACCCTTTTTAGAACCCATTTACACTTCCAGGCTCCACAGACTCTTATAGCAATAAAGTCAACTTAACAACATGATGTGGAAAAGGTAGTTCCTTTAATCTGCTTGAGACCAGGAGATGTATTTGGGATAGTCTATAAGTCTGGGACAGTCTTTTCATCTGTAATTTAAGGACAGATTATCAATAGCTTTCAAATATATCAGAAAACAGTATTTAAACTAAATGAAGAACAGAACTCAGGTCTTTGGGGACAAACAAATAGCCAAATGCAACTCCACAGGTTGCATTTTCTCCCCTTCAGCACAGGGGTGTGCTCTGAATAAAAAGTGATGCATCTTCTATTGATTTCCACAGTCAAAAAATTCTTTTCTAAAGCGTTCTAAGTTGAAGACTGCCCTCCAGAGCAGACAGATGTGAACCTTGGATACACAATGACATAACAGAATGGCAAATCTGGCAGCCACTAAAATCCAGCTGAGCTTATCACAGCTTCAGAGAGCCAAGGTCTGAGGGGCTCCCGGTGCTGGTGACACCTTCAGAGGGAACTGGAGAGTTCCAGTGCAACACCATAAATTTGAATGCATCCCCCCCCCAGCTGATCCATGTCTTCTCCTGCCTGGATCCCCAGAAACCTCTGTGTTAGTCACACTGCTCCAATATTAATAAAGAAAATTTTATCAAGACATTTTTAGGACTGAACAACCTTATCAAGTTCTTTTTCACATGAAAACGTGGATTAAAGAAACATCAGCAGAGGTTTGATGGAGCAGAAATTCATATTCTCAGGATGACAGGATGAAAGTACAATCATTACCCATTTTATTATCTGGATGCATCAAGCACACATTTTAAAAACCATGAATATTTGAGTTAAAACTATGACTGAAAAAAAAAAACCCAGGACCATTCAAATTGGCCAAGGTTCACTTAGAACCATAGAATCATAGAACGGTTTGGGTTGGAAAGGACATTGAAGATCACTTGGTTCCATCTCCTGCCATGGGCAGGGACACCTTCCACTGTCCCACACTGCTCCAAGCGCCAGTGTCCAACCTGGCCTTGGATCCAGTGAGCCAGGGCCTTGGCCAGGGATCCAGGGACGGCCACAGCTTGTCTGGGCACTCTGTGTCAGGGCCTCCCCACCCTCCAAGTATCCCATCTAAATTTCCCTTCTGACAGTTTGAGCCCATTCTGCCTTGTCCTGTCACTCCAGATCCTGAAGAACTGTCCCTCTCCATCTTCCCTGTAGCCTCTTCTGATACTGGAAAGATGCCATCAGGTCTCCACTTAACCTTTTCTTCCCCAGGCTGAACAGCCTCAATGTTGTCAGCCTGTCAAAAATTTGGAAATCAAGAATGGTTTCAATATGGTAAATGATGCGATCTATTATGGTATTTACTGAAAATATTTCTTAGAGTTCTGCCTGGGTAAAAGCATTTGCAGGACCAGCACATTCACTGAGTGATCAGAGATCACAACTGATGACAAACACTACCCCTGGATGTTCAGAGTATGAAGGATGTAATTTATACTAATTCCTTTGTTGTTTCCAATTTTTGTTGTCCTTGACTTTGGTCCTGGAAGGGACTTGCTTTGCAAGTGCAGCAATCAGATTATCTTTTCTGAGCCCTGTCAACTTCCTAGAGCTGAAATAACAGCAGAAATTTCTGGTCCTGTAGAAAATGAAGAGATGCATAATAAATGTACAGAGAAATCTGTACTGAGTATATTATTAATCTACATTCCAAATCAGCTTTAACAACATACTCCTACTGTGTCAGAAGCATATTCCATTCCCTACACTGAAAATCAGTGTTGGAATAGGTACATTTCTAGGTGAAGTCCCGAACACACAAACAAACAGACACCACTATTCCTCTCAGAGCAGGGGCTTTCATTCCTTACCCATCAAATCTCCCACTGACAAGTCAATTGTCTTAATCTGATTTACACCTTGGCATGAAACGACTGCACACAGAGCCCACCAAACAGCTCAGATTCTGCCTGAATGAAGACAGGTTTGGGAAAGATCTGTCTGGAGACAGAAACCACTGATGAAGGAATTTGTGCTGTAGGTCCTGTGCTATCACAAAGGCACATCCCTGGCATTGGGAAGAGGGGCAAAGAGGGTTAAACTAAATTACTCCCTCACAAGAAAGATTTATGAAGCAGAAGCGCTGCAAACCGTGGATGAGAGACCCCATATGGTAGTGAGAAAACAATTTCCTCCTAGCCAGGAACCCGCCTGCAAGCTGAAAAGGATCCTGCTCGAGCTGCAGGGAAAAGAGTGAGACAATTACTGCTGAAGAGTGGAATTCAGCCATTGCTGAGAGTTACAGTTGGAGCTGCAGGTCCTGGGATTGTTCTAAAGGAGACTGGGAAGAGATAATGCAACAGGATAAGGAGGGAGAGGCATTCACTGACACTTCAATTCACGTTCTGCTGCTATGCAATTTTCTCCCCAGTTTTGAAAAGTGCTTCCTGGAGGTGAATGATTCAGAGTCTCATATTTTATGCACTGGAGGGGAAACCAGGCAGCCTCATGAGGCTGTAAATATGGGGGCTGCAAAATTAAACCCTGTCCTAACAACTTTAGCACAGTAAAACCTTTCATAATAATATGGAGCTCTGAAAGTTTTAAGGGGTAAAAAAATTGAATGGTTCCCAGGAGGATTAATTCAACTAATAGAAAGTAATAAGATCACCAGCCCTGGGGAAATTCAGCAAGTTTCCTGTGTTCAGACACTTATCAGGCCCCTTTACAGAGCACACGAAGAATAGGATGTCATTTTCTAAACCCACAGTGAAATTCGAAGTGCAAAATACAACAGCATTAAAAACCATGAAGTAGTTCCTGGTAAGGAACTTGATACCTTGCAAAGAAGCAGATGTAACTCCAAATGATTTGAGAAGGCAAGTAAAAATCTTCTTCTGAAGGCCATCCTTAGCCATGAACAGATGTAACACCCCCACATCTCCATGTGATTTCTGCCAAATGTCTGGAAGACAAGCAATTCAAACCATTTCCAGAGAACTCTGGTGACGTATGAGTGCCTGCAGAAAATACATCAACCCCTTGAGCAATTATTTCACTTCAGTGCAGTTTCTGTTCCAGTCTCTCACTAAGGCTGGTCTCCCAAGTGCTTACAGAATACACTCCACCATTTGGAACATTTATTTCTCTCAGTTATCTCTTGCTTTGAAGTTCAATATCTGCAACTTTCTTTCTGCAGAGCCCAGTTCAAAGAGCAGATCCCAGTGATTCTGTGACAACAGAAGAATGAGCACTATTAGTAATAACGCTTTGCTTCCCCTCCAGAACATACTCCTGGCATCAGCATGAGCAAGGTCTGATATAACAACAAATGCTCAAGGAAGCAGCTGTGACCAGCTGGCAATATTATAATTTCTGAAACAGTTTTGCAGTGATAGAGTGAAGGGTTTTTGAAGGGTTTTCTCTCACCAAGTTTTTTTCTAACTTCCAAAGGAAGCAAGATGCAAGGAAAGAAATTTTATCTCTATTGGTGCTTCAAACAGCATAAAGTTTGAGGATATTGAAGTCAGGCAACAAGATAGAGGACTGAAATGTGCAGCTGTAAAATTCAGCTCCACTTGATGATCTGGGTTTATAGCAATGCCCAGGTTTGTGGGGCTGCAGTGCAGCTGTAGAGCCATTTGGATCCTTGCTTATTTTATTTCTCAGAGTTAAAAGAATTTTAACATTGTATAAATGACACCTCTTTGGCTCTTAAATCACTTGGCTGTCTATAATGGCTGTAATAAATGTTTCCTATTCCACTGCTACAAAAAAAAGGCCCGGGCAGTTTTAGCCATTGGGCCGTGGCACTCACAGGCCTGTGATTCATGGCACACTTGTTATTTATTTGCAGAAGCTACAAGGCAAATGTGCTAGATGAGAATAGTTCTTTAATGTAAAGCATTAAATTATAAGCTCACCCTCAGGATTTGACTGCCAATAGTAGTAAATGGATGCCCAAGATAACACAGGAGCAGTTACTATTTAAAAATAAGCTGTTTGATATTAAACTTCTTTTATTTTACAGCAGAATTCCAACCCTGTCCCCCTTCTTTCAGTGCTTTAGTCTATACCCATCCTGTCCAGATTTGAATGGATGCTGGGAACAACACTCATCTCATTGGACAGATATATGTCAGATCATATTTGTGACGGTGTTCACAGGGGTCTCAAGTTGAGGGAAGAGACGAGGATCTGACTCCATGTTTCAGAAGGTTTGATTTATTATTTTATAATATATATTACATTAAAACTATACTAAAAGAACAGAAGAAAAGGTTTCATCAGAAGGCTTAGATAAGAATAGAAAGGAAAGAATAATAACAAAGGCAGCTGTTTTGGACTCTCTGTCCGAGCCAGCTGACGGTGATTGGCCATTAATTATAAACATCCAAGATGGGCCAATCAAAGACCCACCTGTTACATTCCACAGCAGCAGATAACCATTGTTTACATTTTGTTCCTGAGGCCTCTCAGCTTCTGAGGAGGAAAAAATCCTAAGGAAAGGATTTTTCATAAAAAGATGTCTGCGACACATATTCTTTCATATTTTTGCTTTTTTTGTAATTTCAGGGCTTCTGGCTCAGGTGTTCCAATGGCTCCCATTAATGCAACATTTACAATTGTTACAATGTTAAAAGAACTCACCCAGAGGGTAGCACTGCTATCTTTCTGTAGTGTATAGACTGCAGCTGAGGTACAAGAAGGATAAGGTTCCAATTTTTAGGCAGCCTTACTCATTCTCTAGTTCAAGGGCTACACCAGCTTTGGAATATTTTTTCTGAGGACTGACAGATGTTTGCAAATTGTTCAAGAGCATCCCCTGAACTACAAGACCTCCCATCCCACTTCATGATGTTGTGCTCCACCCAAATTGTCCCAGAGCCAAGAGCTGACTCGACGGTTCCAAGCTCTTGAATTGCAGCCAAATGAGCACATCCATTCCCCTCTTACAAAGAGCCCAAATAATTTTGCCATCAGTGTGACTTTTGTACAAATTCAGTAGGAAAAAAAAAAAAGTAGGAAAAAAACCCCAAGTTATTAAAGCAAATCCAAATCTAGTATTGTAGAACAAAGTACTATAATTAAGCTAACAAAACCCCCCAAACAATCTAAATCCTGTAAGACGACATCTCAATCCTTATGAGACACCATAAATCAGGGCTTTTCTTTACTGGTCAGGTTAGAAGGAAACCGCTAAAAAATAACAGTTCAAATGTTAATAAGACTATTTGATAGAGAAAATATATTCCCAACATGACAAAACTCCTCACTTTCCACTTTTTCAAAATTACCTTTCAAGCTACAGAATTTAAAAAACCCCAAAAAAGACCCCAACACTTCATGCAAGTGATCAACATGCAAGTGATCAATATGTTTCAATAATTTAATTCATTCTCTTATTCATTTATTTAAAAACTCCACAGCAGATACATTGTATAGCAGCATATTTATAAACTGAGTCATCTGCTCTTGTTATCACCTAACATTTATCACCAGACAGGGCTTGAGCCTTCCAGGTGTGATTCTGAAGCAATATATGTATATTAACAGGAAACCTGAAACATTAACACAATGCCATTATCTTGGAAAGCCTGCCAGCTGAACAAGATAAATATGGTATTTTTTTCCTTGCAAAGAGCTTCAACAAAAATGTAAAAGTTTTCAAGTTTCTGTCGGGTAAGATATTACTGCAGAAATTCCAATTCTTTCAGTTTATTCTATATTTGAAGTAAAGCTGCCGAATACAGAAACAAGACTGGTTTCGCTGTGTTGATGCAGTTGTTATAGAAGTTTTCTACTGTCAGGGGGATGGCTGATGACACTTGGAAATACAGCCAAAATCTGACCCTGGCTAAGGAAAAATGATGAAGTGAAGGGAGTTGACCCATCCTAATTGATCAGCATCGAACTCCAATTTATTGATTCAATCAGTCACTTTTTATAACAGTGTTAATTAAGCTCATGCATATTGCAAAATCCGAGCTCATCATAGGTCACAGATTTAAACATTAATCCCTCCTTTTGTTTTCAATACCTGTGGTTTGTTATTGAAACCAAGATTTGTGTTCTCACCCTGATATAAAAGGTTCTCAAAACTTACTTTTACTTTCCCAAAACAGCCAAAGATAGAATGTTCACCTGTTTTGAGAAAACTGCCTGAGAACTCTGCTGTTTACAGAAACGTGCCTGCGAAAACAGGCTTGGGAACTGCTGCTTACAGCTGCCTTTTGCTTTTCCATCAGCTGTATATTTTCATGGCCTTTTTTCCTTCAAGCCATGTCTGAGCAAAATTCTCCAACAGAAAACAACTTCCAAAACCCCAGCTATTGCAGACTTCTTCCTGCAAAAGACTCATTCTTTATGGTCAGTTCTTGTAATTCAGTAAGCTCTAGCAACCTGAGAAAGATTTGAAGGAAAGTGACAACTTTCTGCAAGGCCACACTTTAAAATTCCCTGAAAGAGGAGCATTCCATGGACTCCAATCCTTGGGGAATAATTACTTGTCTTAGTGAAAGATCAAGCAACAGAAATAAATGGAGGCAAACACAGAATTTGTTCTGCTTGAGGACTGAAATGGAGGCTCAATATCTAAATTTCACTGTGCCAACTTGTTCCTAGCCCCCTTATCCAGTCTAGGGATGAAGCAAGGGATGCTCCTCAGGGATGCACCAGTGCAGGGTGTGCTATGCTCTGGGGTTTGGGGAATAGGAGGTGGAGGTGTTCAGGAGTAACCCCAGAACCACAAACAGATAAGGAAACCAGAAATATTGTCCATGATATAAATCTGGCCAAAGACAGAGCACTGCAACCCCTGCTGGCAGGGACAGGAAGAGGAAGGCACTGCAGGCCATAAAGCAGGAAAACCCCAAAGCACAGGGAATGGAAAGTGATCTGGAAACTCCTGCAGTGCCACAGTGAACGATCTGATGTGCATCAGGGTTCGCCTTGCTGGGGCTTCGCTGTTCTTACCAATTAACTCACCCTGGGCTTGGGGCTGAATTTCCCAACTGAACATTAAATAAATTGTTGTTTAGCAGCTATTACAAGGCACAGTCAAATGGAAGAAAATATCAGCATAGCAAACATAAACAAACTCCAATATTTACCACAGAGAAGTTCTTAAAGCCATCATTTCAGTCACCTCGGACCAGCAGCAGTTTGGAAAACATCCCCACAGAGGATGGGCTGGAGGAACACGCATTCTCTACAGGAAGTTTTCATGTATATGAGATTCCAAATATTAAATAAAACCTGGCCACTATACCAAGAATAGTTCCTGAACTTTGATCAATAGCTTTTTTTTTTTCCTAATATTTCTTCAAAATGCTTAGGAAGTTTTGATTCCTTTGCTTCTAATTATAGAAAATTGAAATCTATTGTTTTATTTTGTCAGGACACAATAGCTTAGTGCAAGATTAGGTTAAATCTGAATGACAGTTTGATTTCAGCAGCACAGTAATTCCTCCAGCAGTTCCCACACAGATCCTTCAAAATTACCACTTGCTGGTAATCACATTACTGAAATCCATATCTAATAACATTTCTGCTGCAAATAATGGAGAAATTAAGTTAGAAAGCGGTTGATCTTGTAGTACATCATCCAAATTGAATGTTGGAAACTTTGTGGGAATTTGAGCATTCTCTGGCCAAATTCTGCCAAATTTGGCAAACTTCTCTATTTGCAAATCAAGTGTAAAACAATCTTAGATTTAGGATCCCAGCCAGAACTAAATGTGGGGATCAAAATCTAATACATGTGGTTTATAAGTATTTTATTTATTTGTGTGTTACTTCTTTAAATTTCTATGGTGTCAGTGTGCCTGAACACAGAGAGGAGATCCTGCTGCTGTGCTCTCCATCACACAAGCCTGTCCATTTTTTCTTTTTCCAGCAGTGTGAAACCAAGTAAATGTTTGCTCACTGTGAGCAAACCAAAGTGAAGTGCACTTAAAACTAATTTTTAAATTGCACTTCATGGAGATCTCAGCTTTGAGTTCTGTAACAATCTTTCTTCAGAAAATCTCTTCAATAACAGGCAAATTCACTTAAGGATGTGCCTTGTTTAATCCCAAATTGACAACAGTAATGTCTGAAGCAGAAAAAAAAAATTAAATCAAAAGTAAGAAAAATACAACTGTCATGCACCATGATGGGATTAGAGGCACCAGAGCACTGCAAAGGATATTTTAGACCCATCCTGACCCACTCCTCCCCAAAGAAACTAGAAATGCTTACATTCTCAATTTGAGAAAACCAGAATATTTTAGTAAAATTTAGTCTATCACAGCGTATCAGGGATGGTGCTTTGGAACAAGGTGGAGTCACTTCACTGCAGTAATGTGCTACAATGAGAAATTCCGTATAAATAGAGTAGATAATAGGAGATGTAGTTACTGTGAAATTAGGTGATTAGTGAAGGAAAGTGGCAAATTTTTACATGATACAGGCATCTGCCTTCCTTCCTCTTCTTTCCATCTGAAATTAAGGTCAAAGATATCAATTACATTGGTGGGAAAACTGCATCCTGACCAATCTCTTGTTGTGACCACTTGGAGTCTTAATTATTCACTAAATTACATGTGGTATCTTTACAGAAATGAAGAACAGTGTAATGCTCTGGGTGCTTTTCTGAATGAATAATCTGTACAATAGTTAATTCCCCTTGCAGATATTGAGATAAATTCAAGTGATAAAAGAGTACCTGAGAGTCTTCACATGTCTGAGAATTAAGTCTGGGTTACCTGTCTCTGGCTCATCCTTTAGTACAGATCTGCAGGTGAGATTCAGATGATGTTCTGTGTTTTAATACAAAATCAAAATTAGAAAGTAAAAGGTCCCAGTTGTTCCCTCCCTCATCTGTCACTGCCTGACCATATGTGTGACAGCTTGGAAGGGAAATTCTTTGCTTCTTCCTTATATTACATCTATTATTTAAAAATCATTACTCCCTACCTTGAGATCTAGGTGGAAAAAGTTCATAAACCAGGATTCAGATCTACATCCAAACTCTTCCTCTATTCCTGCAAGTGTAAAACATAAGTAAGTTTATTTCTTGTTGCTTCCTTGGCAAATTCTGCATGAGTTTTCCCAATAATCCCAATTATCCCCAAATATTCTCAGTCATTCTGACAGGGGGTTGTGCAGGGAAAAGTTCTCTGAGTGGAAATCAGTGTCATAAGACATGGCATTAAAGAGGGGAGGCAGAGGAGGACTCTTGCTCTGTCTGATGCAGGACCAACAGCAGCAATGCACAATTGTTCAGCACAAAACAAATGAAAACAGATCCAAGTGAATCCAGCCAGGAACTGCTCTGCCTCCCAGCCGTTCCTTACAGCAGCTCTGGGCTCTCGGGTGTCACATCAAGCCATCAATTCAACACTTCTTTATCACAAAACCCTTCCATATTGATAAAGCCTATCTTCTGCTTGCAACTGCTGGGCTCACTTAATGAATATTTATCTTGCATGGTCCAGGAGAAACTCTTTGTGATCATTCACACAATGCACTTTATTTTAGTTATTTCACTAGAAAAAGTAGTATTCTTATCTGAACAGTTGTTCCATGTGTTTATTGATTAAAATCCAATGCTACTCGAGGAATGTTAAGTTTCAACTGTTTTCCTCAGTGCATTACAAAGAGAGCAGGTTCTGATTGTTCATATGAATGTGGATATATCCATAAAGGCAGACTATTAGATGAATCTCTAACATGTCAAGGACCCCCCAAATCTCTGAATTAAAAACAAAAAAAGAAGTCAACTTCACTGAATTACTTACAGTGATAAACTTCAAATTTTATCTTCACAATTACTGTATGAACACCAGTGGAATAATTAATTCTTTGCAGAGTATATTTCCCATTTTGCCTAAAGGATAACTTGTCCAATAAAATTATGACAGAAAATACACCTGTTTCATAAAGAAAGCTCACAGGACTGTAATCTCAAAATAAGAGAGAATTAAACAGCCATTTTCTGTGATTTCTCTCCCCACAACAGCAGCAAAACTGAACAGCTGAATGTTCCAGAATAGAAAGCAAAATCAAAGTCTATCCTGGTCTCATTACTCATTAGAAAAAATAAATAACTACAATTTGCACCTTTTATAGCCCAGTGTCCTACAAATCCAGTAGAAACTCCAGGAAACATTCCATGAGTTTTATTTTGCTACAGGTGGAGCAGTAGGCAAGACTTGCACTCCTTTATTTCAGGGAAGGGTTCCCTTTACTTCTCTGGCTGCACAGACCATCAGCTTCCCTCCCTCCTCCCCTTCCCAAGCCTTCAAGCAGATTAGTTGTTTGAACTATATTTTCCAGGATGCCTCCCTTTTTGGGCACCCATATTAATATTAGTCCTGAAAAAATCCATGTCCTCAGTAAAAAAACATGCAGGAACCCAATCTTAGAATCACAACCCTCCAGGCCAAGCACTGGGGACATCAGTTGCCCTATGAGCAGAAGGTGCTGGAAGATATTGCCTTTCAACACAGAGCGGGACTGAGGAATTCTCAGTGTGGCTGATATGACATTCCCTAAATATTTGTATTTTCACTTAGTTCAGGGCCTCCTGGGAACAGGTATCCTTACAGACGTCAATAAGAAAACAAGTCAAGCGATGCAACAACTGTCCCCTGAATGAGAAATGAGTGTGTGGCCAACTCGTTCCTCAAAGGCCAATTCCTTCTGTATAAAAAATGGCAGCATAAAGAACTGTGGCCATTTGTCTCCTCATGCCTCTGCCATAGAGCAGCCAAGACTGTGCTTTCAGCATTTTAGAAGCAATTTGCCAAATCATTATGCTGTCACTAAATGGAAACCTTAATTTTCAGGTGTTGCAAATACGATGAAGAGAAAGCTGCAGATGCACTGAAATTCAAGGTGACACCAGAGTGACTGCAGAGCACAGTTTTCTACACACCCTAGGGAAAACTAAGGAGCTGGCTTCTCAGTCCAGGAGGAATCATGTAAAAACATTTCCACACTGTTACAAGACACATACACAATAATAAAAACTGATTTTGTTCCGCTTGAAATGATGTGTGATATGGTTACCTTGTAGATGCTTGCAAAAATCAAATGATGTCATAGGAAAACATTCCCATTTTGCCACAGGAAGGCTTGTCCAAAATTCTCAGCTGGATTTTGTCTAGGGTTTGACTGACAGAACATGTTATTTTTTCATTACATCATGAACAAGTAGATGTTTTCTTGCCCAAAGAAGGATCTGTCCAATTAGCTCAGCTCCAGTGGTATTTCAGTCCCTCCATTGCCTCATTTTGTGTGAACCTTTCTCATATCTCTTGAGAATTTATTTGTGTCATACAAAAATGATAACAAGTTTATGAGAAACACTTTGCTCACTCATGAATAGCTTTGAAGTTTAAATTATTTAAAAGAGCACCATCAGGATATTTCTGAGTTGTAAACGCTACATGTCAGACGCCAAGACATCTTTCAGTCTTGGATGGCTCGAGCCCCTGCCCAGGGGGCTCAGAGACCTTGGCACAGAGCCCAAGACACCTGGGACTTTGATTTTGAGCCATGGAGCAAATTACCACCTTTAAATGAAGAATTACAAGTCAAAAGAGTTTAAGTAGAATGATAGTTAGTTTGTCACAGGGTGAAAAATAGATTTTTGGGGTTTTTAGAATGGGGGTTCAGGAGGCAAGATGGAGGAATCTGGGTGTGTCCAGTCTTTCTCCTTCTTCTTCTTCTTCTTGGCCTCCATCTTCTGCTGTGATGGTGGCACTTTTGGATTGGTTTAAGGGAGGAACTCACTGTCTAACATAGGTGATAGGTATTGGGAAGTTATGGTAAATAATGTACATACTTAGTATAAAAAGATAACAGCACCCCAAGGGCAGCCAGTGTGCCTCAACCCAACCTGCCAGACAGACCTCAGCAGGTCAGCAAAAGAACTATATAGATAAGAAATAATAAACAACCTTGAGAACGAGAACAAAAGAATCCTGACTCCTTCTTTGACTGCTGGGCTTGGAAAAAGAAGCTTGTACCTATCTCAGAGTCACTCTGACCAGCAGAGCCACGAGAGCTACAGAGTATGAAATTCATTTCAACAGGTCTCCAGAACAGGTTAAGTTCTTTTCTGTAAAACAGATAGTGATGATGATGATGATGATGATGATGATGATGATGATGATGATGATGATAATAATAATAATAAAGTTCTATTCATTATGAAATTCAGCTGCCCCATGTTCAAGTCAGACAGGCCACTTGCAAGCTCTGTCCTATAACATTGGTGGATACAATTTTTAAGGAAAAAATCTGGGTTTCCATTTCATCCCTCCTTTCTCTCAAATGCATTTTGAATTTTGCACTCAAAAGAGACATGAAATGTTGGGAACAAAATCAGAATCTATAGGATGAGGAAAAAAACCCTAGCAGAGGTTGGATAGGAGCACAAGACATGCACTAATCCTCTACTATCTCCCCAAACAGCCCACAATTACGTCTTTCCCAGGAGACAGTTGTCAGCTTTGTGCTAAACTGTTCCTAAATTTGAAGACTCCATAGGTGCCTGGGGATTCTCACCCAGTGACAGCCTGCCCAGCCATTAGAGCAGATTTCCCTGTGTCTAACCTAAGCTGTGCTTGTTATTGCATTATTCCCATCATCTCCAAGGTGGATGCGATGGAGTAATGAACACACACCTGCTCTTTTACAATAAAAGTTGTTGAATAATAAGACTGAAAGTCTCCTGTGTTTAATGCTCTTCCCCTTAGGCTAAACAACCTTAATTCATTTATATTTTTATTCAAAAGCTGCTCTGATATCTTTTGAAGCTGTTTTGGGAGATTTCTTCAAATGGGCCACAACTACTTGTTCTCCTTGAAGTGCATTGCCCCAGTTCCTCCAGTTTGCTCTCCCTCATCCTAGAGAGAGGTAAAATACTGCTTCCCATCTCACTCTGAGTCCACAGAACTGTGGGAATTTATAGCTCAGCACAGATGAGACAGGAAATAAACAGATGAAATAACTGCTCTGCCATTGCAAACTTACCTGCTGCTTTGCTGAGATGTCTCTCTTTGATTCCAAGGATCAAAAGGTATCTTCTTTTTCTCAGATCTAGAATTGTTTGGAATTTGTTGGAAAATGGCTTTTTCTCCCCTTGATAAAAAATGAATGACACTTTTTCTTCTTCCTAATTCTTCTCAAAAAGGAAATGAGAATTCTCTGGATTGAATAAATTTTATTTATGCTTTAGTAGATCCTTCTGAAATGCCCTCTTAACAAAAAGAATCACTTTTCTTTTTCCTCCTTTGCCTATTATTTTATAGGAAACACTTATTTTGCCCACAAATATAAAATCAGTACTTCTTTGTTCCTAATAACACTTGAATTGTTAAAAATATTTTAAAAGCAATTTTGCACAGTTTGTTGTCCACAGAAATGTTACAAAATATGTTGCACTTCAACCTATGCTATGAATTCCACAAGCTCTTAAAATAGCTTTAATAGATATTTAAATAAAAAAGGCGCATTAACAAAAATAATTATTTTAATCTATTTCCGAGGCAATTTATGCCCATAGTCTTTTGGGGTTTGGCAATTATTTAAAAGTGTATATAAAACCAAACAAATAGAAAAGTGTCTGAAGAATCACTACAGTGACTTAAATATAGTTTATGCCAGGTTAATTGACCGCACACATCATCTGGATATCAGCTCAGAGGAGTCAGAAAATATAGCTGAAGAGACATTAATTATTCTGCAGTTACATACTTGGTATTATCCTGTAAAATATCTGTTTCAGTCCAGATGTCAAAGTTCTCTAAAATAACACAAGTATGAGGTCTTGAGCTGATCCAAAATGCTGATCCCGGCTCCAGAGAGAGGCTACCAAAAATCTTCATTTTCTAATCTCTCTTATTGTTAAAAAAAAAAAAAACACACAAAAAAAAAAACCCAAGAAAACAAAAAAAATCGAGAAAAGTACAACATTTAAAAGCTGTGAAAAATCAGAATATGGATTTTCCAGGCTGATGTTGGATGCTGTGCATCACTTATGGCACTCCTGGATGTCCCCACTTGCGAGCAGGGACAGTGGTGAGTTACTGGGAGGCTGGAAAGACACCACAGCCGCAGGTCCTCATTTCACATGTCATGATCAAGGAGGAAAATTTTAGCCTGAAACCACATTGAGGTTTCCCACTACTTCTCTGGGTTCAATTTTTATTTGAGGTCACAAGAGCTGCCACTCCCCTCATGTGACACCCGCCAGAAAAATAAACACTAAAGGGAATGTGGTGCAGATATTTTTATTTCTAGCTTTTGTGAGAACTACACTGTACCAACATTGCAGGACTTTGGAGTCAGTTTGAAGCCCAGAAACAGTAAATGGGTGCCAGGTCATAGGTCTTAAAATGTCTTATTTTTACATAAACCCAGCCTTGTTTGCCAAATGTTATTTTTTCCCTCAGTGTCTTCACTGAACAGTGCCCTGAGCAGGAACTTCCACAGCATGGAGCCCATTCCCAGCACGGACTCTTCACCAAGGAAAGCCTGCACAGTCACGACATTTTGGTATTAAATCCACTTAGTCCACCATGTGGAGAGATGTTTGCTTCCTTTTCACACCTCTGTGTAGGGAATAACATACACAATGGGATTTGTGCTTTTGCATGTCTTCACCTAAAACAGGCCATATTTTTAGAGAAGACATCCTGGGTTAAATCAGATGTAACTTAATCAGAAGTAACTTAATCCTGCCTGTTCTTTCTCCACAAGGGGAGTCTAAACTGCCCCATGGGAACTCACAGAACCCAAGAATGGATCAGCCTGGAGGGGCCCACAGGGGCTGCTGTGGTGGCACCTCCCTGCTCCAGCAGGGCCATCCCAGAGCCCAGGGCACAGCAGTGTGTCCATGTGGCTCTGCAGTGTCCCCAGGCAGGAGCCTGCACAGCCTCTGTGCCCCATCTGCTCAGGGCTGGGCACTGCCAGGGCAGGAGCTCTGGGCATGGGCAGGGGCAGCTCCTGGGCTCAGGCCCTGCCCGTGGCTCTGGGGCCATGGCTGGGCCCGCAGCAGAGCCTGGGCCCTGCTCTGCCCCTCCCTGCACACAGGGACAGCCAGGCCTGAGGGCCCCTCTCAGCTGGGGCTCCTCTCCAGCCTGAGCAGCCCCAGCTCCCTCAGCCTTTCCTGGGCACCGAGATGCTCCAGGCCCTGCTCAGCTCCAGCAGCTCCGGCCCTGCTGTGCTGAGGATCCACAGCTGGACACAGCAGCCAGAGGTGCCTCCAGGGCTGGGCACAGGGGCAGCATCCCCCCTGACCTGTGCCAGGGCTCTGCCCCATGTCCCCAGGGCACCCTTGGCCTCCTTGGCCCCAGGGCACTCTGCTGCCTCAGGGACAGCTCTGTGTCCCCAGCACCCCCAGGGCACTCTGCTGGCTCAGGGACAGCTCTGTGTCCCCAGCACCCCCAGGGCACTCTGCTGCCTCAGGGACAGCTCTGTGTCCCCAGCACCCCCAGGTCCTTCCCCTAGAGCTGCTCCAGCAGGTCCCTCCAGCCTGTGCTGGTGCTGAGCTTGTTCCTGCCCAAATTCCCCCAGAATTAAATTATAAATCAACTAAGCCCAACATGATGTATTTGATGTGCTGAGGATTGAGAAAACTGCAACTGGAAATGGTGCTTCAAATCTATTCCACATGAGGTCACAAGGAATGTATTTCTCCAAATTTTTCGGCAGATATTACCTTGCCCTTGAGGACTCACCTGAAGATGAGAGACATTCAATTTGAATGTTGCTGCTTTTAATCAAAGGTTGTCAATCACATAATATTATTTCAACCAAAATTAAACTGAGGCTCGCCTATTTCAGCTCACTAGTAATGATCAAGTGTTTAATGTTGCTTTATTTGCATTTAAGTCCAAGTTTTCATAAAAATACCCTGGGGTTTTAGGATTTTTACCAGCACCCAGTTATCACTTCCAAAGTGCATTGTGTCCTAATGTAAGACTTTTTGAAGTTAATACACTGCTAACATTAAACTGAAATACTTTCTTTATTTCTGCAAGTTCAGAGTGAAAAGACAATATTAAACAAAATCATATATAAATAAGCTTTATAAAAATTCACAGAAGGTGAAAACAACTCAAAACAATCATCTTCTATGGGCTTTTTGTTAAGAGAGAGAAAAATCTGCATTTAAAGTAATATATTTCACTTTCTTCTGTTCAGTGTTAGTCTGTTTGTATACAAACTAAATAATACAAACTTTCCAATGGTGTCATTAACTTTTGTTTAGTTATCCTATGATGAAATTATCTGTAATTTAAATAATGGACAGAAAATCCTACCCTTTGTTTTAAAGCTGCTTCAGCTCCTCAGGTATCTGAAATTTTCCAGCTCAGATTTGTTAATTAAAATGTTTTTCTCCTACAGTAGCATCTGTTTCCAATTAAGTGATTGCTATTTAAAAAGTCAACAACAAGAATCATGTTTTTACTACAGCAAGAATAAAATAACCCACTGTACAACTATGAAAAATAAAAGTGCTCCCACTGCAATTTATCTCAAAGGCTGAATTAGGCTGGAGACTGCAGTTAATAAAGGAAGTCAAGCAGAAATGTGCCCTTTAGCATGAAACTTATTCTAAATTATATCATCCACTCATAGAATGGTTTGGGCTGGAAGGGACCTTAAATCCCCCCCAGTGCCACCCCTGCCATGGCAGGGACACCTCCCACTGTCCCAGGCTGCTCCAGTCCCAGTGTCCAGCCTGGCCTTGGGCACTGCCAGGGATCCAGGGGCAGCCCCAGCTGCTCTGGGCACCCTGTGCCAGGGCCTGCCCACCCTCACAGGGAACAATTCCTCATTCCCAAGATCCCATCCAGCCCTGCCCTCTGGCACTAGGAGCCATTCCCCCTTGTCCTGGCACTTCAGGCCCTCACAAAAAGTCCCTTGTAAAAAGTCCCTTTACTCTTTTAAGTGACTATTTTGCCACATGAATCTTTACATTTAAAATGAGACAGGTTTAGGTATATCCTGAAATTTCATGTTTTTATCTTGTTAACCCACAAGCTTTTATCAAATAAGATCAGCCAACTTCACTGACCACCTCTGCAAAACAGCTCTGTTTCAAATCCATCATCACAGCTCTTCCCTGTTTTCCCTTCATTCCCCCAAGCCTCAGGTAATTTCCCGCACATTCAGAAATCTATGCAGTGTAACCCCAGGACATCAGGATGAATGGATGGACAATGGGATCTTCTATGGGCTGGGGGTCTCTGCTGGAGCTAAACCTGACCTAGGGCTACAGGTAGTTATTCCACTTCAGCTGCTCCACTGTTGAAGAAATGCAGGATTTTTTTGGCTTGGTTTTAAAGGATCCCTTTTTGCCCAACAAATAAAGGCTGCATCAAGGTGATAGCCACTTTAATTCTTAAATTATTACTATTAATCCCTTATTATATTGTTGTGCCAGGGCAGGGGCAGGGTGGGCACAGCAGGAATTTCCCCACGGAAAGGGGGCTCAGGCCTTGGCAGGGGCTGCCCAGGGGGGTTTGCAGTGCCCATCCCTGGGGGTGTCCCAGGAAGGGCTGGAGGTGGCACTCAGGGCTCTGGGCTGGGGATGGGGTGGGCATCGGGCACAGCTGGGACTCCATGGTTTTAGAAGCCTTTTCCAACCCTTAAGATTCTATGATTTTATAAAATTAAATATTCTATTATTATATTATCAAGTCAGAAATTAATAAAGTTAGGAATATGGGACAACACAAGATTGTGGAGCAATACCTAGGGAGAAAACTGTAAATCTTCCTTCCCATATTTGAATGTGGGTCCAGATTTTCTCTGTAAAATGGGTGAGTGGAACACTTTTGCTACCACCAGGTAAATGGACCTCTGGGAGTGTCTAACACCTCTCAGCACTGAGTAAACACAATGTAAGCAAAGTATTCACATGCAGTAGTGCTCCAATCCCTTGACTGCGTGCCTAAGCACAGGCAGGGGTGAGCCAGGCTCTTGGACACGTTTGCTCCAGCTCTGAGGGAGCAGGAAAAACGCAGAATGACAAGATGCTGAGTGTGACTGACTGCTTCAGCAGAACAAGGGGCTGCATGTGGGCAGGCTGGGAATGGTTTTCCATCAGCAGAAATGCCAGAAGGAAGTGCCAGTGCAAACCATGCTGCTATATTCTGCAGGTAAACACTGGAGGATTCTGCTTTGAGCAATGCCCAGGTCTGCATCCAGCCCCACTCACCATCTCTGGCACTGGGATGGGATCAGCTGCTCTGGCA